GCTAATGACATCAATAGTACTGAGACTGAACCTCCAGCCCCAGAACTTCATGCTTCATGTACGCAATACAGTGCATTCCTGGTTGCGCACTGCCCTGGGACGCACTGGATATGGTTTGACTGGGCCCTTAAATCTTTATTTTTCTTCCTAGGTTTAAAAAGAGCATTGAGCTATTGATCATACGAGTTTGTTGTGCTTATGTTTTTATGTTTGTGTTGCTGCTATCATCTACATTTTACATATACTCCGTAGGCAAAAGTGGCCTTGCCATGCAGCTGTTATATGTCAGAGAACGGAATTAAATTGCTGAGTGGAGCCTAGGGGGGCCTAAGTACTCTTCAAAGCTGATAGTAACTTTCTTCTTTAACCAATAGCTGGCTTCACTTTTAACACCCAAGTATTTTTGAAATCTCCAATAGACAACATGGAAAAGTATTTTGTTCTAGTAAAATTGTTCGGAGTGCTAAGCCTAATACTTGAGATTCAAGGTTACTTTGTGTTGTTTTGCTGTGTTTATCATTCGTTATTTTGTTGTCCTGAGAAATGACTCGATTCCACTGTGTTCTCATCTTCAGATCACGGCAAGCACAGATTTGTAAATCTTTGGACTAGACAGTCTTCCTTTTTACTGCAAGACTGCATATCGCTTTTGTCGTATGTCTGTTTAAACCTTCTTTTTTTTTAAAATGGTTTTAATTTGACCAGTTCAGTTTTTATTGCTAAGCCTTCCTCCCTCTGTTAGAGGCATCTTGTTTTACAGAACCACCGGTAGACAAATGTGTTTTTTGTTTCATGAACCATTCAGCCGTTGGTTACAGTATTTAGGTGCTTTTACCTCGTTCTTAGGTTCTGACTTGACTGTTTCATACTGTTAATACTGGCCTAAGACTCCGAGCTTGTTGAAGATTCCAGCTTTTGTCACAATCCTGTGTGAAGTGAGCCATAGAAATAATAACAAGATCATTTATTGTATGGCCTACAGAAGGTTATGCCGTCTTTATACCACAGTAACCAGATAGTACATTTACTAGCACTGAGCAGATCGCTCACATGTATGGATATTGTAGTTGCAAGTACTAAAAAGATGCTTATTGTTGCTCATTTTTAATTAATTGGGGAAATCTGTTACTCTAAAGGAAATTCTTGGAAGAAAGGTTTAAAATCAAAATACAGACTAAACAATATTAAAATCCAGGCTAAACTCCAAAGACATGCTGGTATCCTGTTACCCTAAGGAGAACTATGGGGAAAAACACTGACCCCATAGTTCTCTAACATCGGGCCTGGCTATACAGCTGTCAAAACGAATAGCAGAGAGGTGAGTCACTGCTACCTCTCTGCTATCTTCAGCTGTCAGATACGGGTTCACTGTTTAGCGAAGCCATATCTGAATGTAAAGGCTGTCTCCCGTCACGAAGGGGTTAATTGGCTCCTCTCTAAGTTGGCCCTATGTATGCATGTGAGATAGGGACCTTTTAGAATGTAAGCTCCTTGAGGTTAGGGACTGATGTGAATGTGCAACTATGTACAGTGCTGCGTAAATTGTCTTCGCTATATAATTGTCTTGCGATCATCGAAAGCCGCCCCTCAGAGGGGCGGGCTTCCGATGACTGCAATGCTTAAAGGGCAGTGTGCGCTTGCCATGTCAAGCTTTAAAATTGCGAAATCGTTAAAAACTACCATACCCAATATTTACAAGAGGCGACGCTTTAAAAGCTTTTTACTGCTCATCAGTTTAGTGTTATCAGTGATTAATGGCCCTAAAATTATTGCTCTCACTGCGACGCTCCCTGCGATATGTAACGTGCAGCGTAATGGGCGCAATCGTCGTTTTCACACATATGCACATACGACCCATGTTTGCATGCGTGTATGGGTGGGGACTATAAACAAAAAAATTTGTTTTGAAAAAATAATTTTTCATGTGTATCTTTAAAAAAAAATTTTTTTTGCCAACTTTAATTTTTTTCCACTTAACTTTATTGCGATCACATAGGGGGCCAAGAAAACCCCCTATGTGATAGCAAAGCAGATGTGGCAGGTCCTCTTTATGGTGACATCAGGGGTCTCCAATCGGCTTTATTTTAAAAATAATTTTCAAATCTTAACTGAACAAACTGAAGAGAGAAGCTGATTGGTTGCCCTGAGCAACTTCTCCAGTTTTTTGTCTGCTCTAGTTTTGATAAATTCCACCCATTGTCTCACCTATGTATGTTTTAGGTCAAAAAGGATGTTGAAGTTGAGCAAATCTGCTTTATAAAGGGGAGGAGAAACGGTGATTGAATTACTACCCCCTCCAAAAAAAAGAAGCTGATAATGGTTTTCTTATTGTATTGCCCTGCTACTATGTAAAGTCAGTATTGAAGTATTTTGCTTGCTGAGATGTACAAATATATACCCTGGCATAGAGCTCTTGCGTGACCTTTATTTATCAAGCTCTGTGTGAAGGTTCATTGCATATAATGGAAGCTATGCACTTGGCAACTGTTTGAAAGACAAAACCAGCTTAATGGTTACCTTTTACTAGTGAAATGCCACTCCTGAATGTTTGTTTATTTTCTGTGTGCTGTCAGTCTAAGTTATACATATATATTCTTCATCTATATTAGTTCTTGCTGCTTCAGCAGGACCTCTGCATCGGATCCCAGGTCCACCCCATTACAAGGCTGTCTCCCTTTTATGCTGTATAATTAATTGTTAGAGATTGCGTTAAAATCAGCTAAATGTACTATTGCATAAGTATAGGCTTGCCTCTGATGGGGACGTCCAGCCATATACAAGAGAGGTAATCTATTGAACCCACAATACTGAATAAGGTTTGACATGTGCAAGTAAGTATGTTAGAGCCAGCCTGACATTCCTGTTCAGAACAGTTAATATCTAGAATGTCATCCGCACTTGGATGCTGAAACTCCTGCTCTGTTTGGCCTGGGGTGAGGTACAGGATAGAAAGCGGATGATGGAGTCACCTGTAGCACTCCTGTATGTAGAATGACCTATTTCAGCTTGTGGAATAAGAGCATGGAGGCATGATCACAGCACTGTTTGGGACCAACACAAGAAGGATGAAATGTGCTTGAGATGTTTGTTGTTTTTAAAACGAGCCTAGAGGATTTTTCTGCGTGTAACTGAGACCAGAATACTGAGGCTTTGAGCAATTTAAATGTGCTGAGCTGTGTTTATCTACTGTTGACTGATATTATTAAAACATGCAATCATGAAAAAATGCATGCATGTGAAATCTTCACTATACGAATGGATTTCCTACCTTTTTACAGGTCTCCCTCCAAGGGGCAGTTCCAGATTTTTGGCCAGGGATGGATGATCAGAAACCATCCAGCGAGGATAAGGAATCTGAAGCATCAGGTAAAGCATTGCTGCCATCTAGGTGTAAGATCTTTAGTTGCAGAGTCCTAGCCAGCTCCCATAGGTGTTCAACTGTCATTTTCAGCTTGTATTCAACACGGGACCAATTTTGTGCAAAATGATTTTAACTGAAATAAGTATCTTGTCCTTTCTTTGTGATTTTATTAATCTTCCTCCTTTTTTTTTTAGCAGATGAAAATGGCTCTGATGTGGCCTGTGAAGCAGAGGAGCCTTGCAGTCCATCTTCAAATAACCCATCTCTAGAGGATGGCATTCTCAGAGACCCACATTGTAGCAGGTATTGGACCACTTAAAGCATCTAGGAGTTTCTAGAACAAATGCTGTGCAACTTTTTAGGAATGTGTGAAATTGTTTTCCTCTTTTATTCAGCAATGAGCATTCTATCCTTTTTCCTGATGAAACACATGAATTATTTTATTTTCCCCTATCTGCATAGTGGTTCTTTTACAAGGCGTTGTGCTCTGTGCAATTGTGGTGAATGGAGCCCCCAGGGACAGCGTAAACTCTTACGGTTTAATCCTTCACCCAACCGCCCAAGGCTGAATCCAGCCCGCTGTCGGAAGCATGAGATTGACACTCAGTGCTTAGATCCAACTGTAATTGGCTTTAAAGAGTCTGTGTTACCGGAAGAGCTTTTTGAACCTTCAGGTAAGAAGTATTTAAACACAAGTTTTAAGACATTGCAGACCTTGTTACAAGCCTGGCAACTGGTGAAATGTTGTTTGATTTGTTTAACTATGATACAGCTTCTATCACACACATGCAAAGAAAGTGAATTACAATAGGACAAGGTTCTCTATTCTAACCAGTGCAATACATTCATCAATTACTTATTTTGGAAGAAGTGTAAGCTTCTTATGTAAGAATTATTATTGCCTGTTCAGAATGACCTTTTTCTTCGTAAAATTGGTCTCCCTGTGGTCTGTATATAACATTTTGTAATGTTGGTCGCCTATGTACTGTCTATATTATTGTACATTTTTTTTTTTTTCTTTTTTTTTTCCCACTGCTGAACTTTTATTTACGCATGAAACTTGTATACCTTCCATATTCAGGCCATTGCTGGGTTCATTACTGGTGTGCATTGTGGTCTCATGGAGTTAAGGACGTGGAAGGGACTGGACTTGTTAATGTTGATAAAGCTGTATTCTCAGGGATATCACAGGTAAGTACATGTACAGAATACAGAGGCTTTCCAAGCCTTAAATCTAAGCTTAATCCTACTCTTCTATACTGCTAGAATGGCTTCATTGTGTTTTATAGGGTAGTGGATCAGCTTATAAATCCTTTTTGCAAAAAAGATAAAATGTCAAATGTATTTCTCGCATATTAAAACTAAACACCACAAACAAGTACTGGCTACCCAGTCGCAAAATTATTAATAACAAAAATCTAATTCTATATATCTATATTACATTCTGCTACAGACATTTAAACAGAATTATTTTAGATGTTTAGCTTTATCATGCAGTGATAGCTAGATACGTTCAAAACCTGGCCAGAAAGACATCCATGTTAGTAAATATAATGGAGAACTTTGTATCTGATGTGCAATTCCACATCTACCACAAAAAAAAGTGAAGTGCATGTTGACATAAAAACATAATTCTGGGTATTTTGTTTTATTTACTTACTGGGGTAACAACACTACATATACCCATGAGATATTAAACATTAAGTGAAAATTTCCATTGGTGTCTATCCCTTATCTATCTTATGCAAACTACTAATCCTGTCACCCCCCGTATGTAATGGAGATAAAGAAATGCAGACATGTTAGAAGATCAACCTGTTTGGCAACCATTGCTGCCTCCATAGATGCAGTGGAGGAGAGTGTAGCCACCCAGGGACAGGAAGTATGTTATTTGCAGGTGATAATAAAAAAAAAAGGCCTGAACCAAAAACTAATGCAGCCACCACATCTAAGGAGTGGTAAGCTGCAATATATTACATTTGTGTTTTTTTTGTTTAGATACACTTTGAGGGTTGGTAAGATGTGATCACAACCCAACATTCAATTGGTTTGTCAGCACACTTTGCCTTTTGTACAAAGAAATGTCAAAAGGGAGAACACGGCTCATGTCTCTGTGTGTTTCCCAGTGCTAGGTGCAGAAGCTTTGTATTGATCTGATTGCTCAATAAAGATGAATGATCAGAGATGTGTTGGCTCCTGCGTTGCAATATTATAAAACATATCGGGATAACCATATTTTTTTTTTTTTTTACCTGTAAATTGCACAAATCTGGTGATTGTCTTAATGAGTCTTCCAGAACAAAGACCGAACTAGGGTGGTGTTTATGGGGAGATACTGAGGATAACATGAGAAAATACGTTTACATGCTTTTGTCTGGAATTACCTTTAAAACATGTTTTTATTGAAGAAGTAGAAATGTCAGTTGTTAGTGTTATGAATTACATGTAGATATTTTAGCAGCCTTTCATGCCAAAGTGATTAGAAATTCTGAATACTGCTGTATGAAGCAAGGATGTCACTGTCCAGATTCTTAGATAAACCTGCTCATGTAAAACTTCAGTATGCATATGTTCATGTCCTGTATTTGTGATTGACTTCTTTTGCAGAAATGTGAATACTGTAATCGGATGGGTGCTACCATTCAGTGCCACTCCACAGGGTGTTTGCGCCGATATCATTTTCCATGTGCTGCCGCAAGTGGATCCTTCCAGTCAATGAAGACCTTAAAACTGCTGTGTACAGAACATGTTACCAGTGCTGTTGCAATGGGTTAGTTTGGACGTGGAAACTTTTTATTTGTTTGATATTCTTCAATAGAATTGCTAACAAATTTGCTCTTACTTTGAATTTGTTCCTTTTTTTTTTTTTTTTTTCCTGTCCTTAGTTGTTAAGAAAAAAATAATATATGTAGGTAACAGGACTAAAATTCATTGATACATTGGAGGGGGTCTCATAGTGGTCACATCATTGTGTTGCCTCTATGCTCTGAATTCACCCCTGCAAGGCCAAACCCTAGCCATATCTAGAACTCCCAGGCTTGCATCTTCTCAGTAAATGTCATGTTTACATTCTTGGACTTCTGTGTCCTGACACCTAGTGGTTGGATATAGAATTGTCTTAGAATATTTGTGGAAATATGGGTAATCTAAATAATTCAAGGTTACATTTATTATTGTTTAAAGCCTTTTTATAGATTATGCATTTTAAACTTCCTATTGGATCACTAATAATGCTGTATCCCCAATTTACATGAAACTAAACTCAGGAGTTAAGGACTTGTTCACACCAAATGCAGACCAGATCTGCATGAGTTTCTGCACACGCAGTGCAGTCGGTTGTGCCGCGTTTTTGCCGCATTTTTTTTTTTTCCAATAAAATTGTATTATAACTTTCAACACATATCAAAGAGGATAAGAGTATTGATATTGAGTTACATACAATTTGCGTATCACCGTGTAGCCATTATCAACGTAAAAGGCTAATTCCCATAATAAATTCTGCTATCACTCCATTGCAAATATTGCATAACAAATATCGGTCACATAGGGGTCAGATAAATCTAGATTAGGTAGCAATGTATGCTTATAGTCTGGAGAAAGATTTAGTCCGTGACTAAACGCAGGCTCCCCAGCGTATTTGACAAGTCTGCTTTCAAGTACCATTTGGTATATCGGAAAGGCTGCACCAGGAGTGCTACTTCCGAAGTTGATAATGATTTGGTGTTTCCATCTACGGAAAAAGTATGATATCTGCTTGTCCTTATGCATTTCAGCATCCAGCCTTTCTTTGGTTAATAACTGTTTCAAATCCTTGATGAGTTCCTGAACCCCAGGTGCCAAGTGGGCATTCCAGTCTCTCATTAGGCATCTTCTAGCCACCAGTAGGCAGATGTGTAACCAGTCCAAGCCTTTATAATTATGATGGCCTAGTGATCCAGTGGACTGGTCGAAATACCCAAACAGGCATAATGCGTAATCCAGTGCAGGTTTCCATGAGATGATGGTGCTTGTGTAGCTCAAAGTTTGGTTCCAAAAGTCTGACACGGCCGGTCATGCCCAAAGACAATGTCGGGCGTTCCGCTCCACATTTTGGGCAAAGCGTGAGAGTGTGGTGGGGGGGTTATTGATGTCTTTGCAGGTATGAAAAAGGGTACATAGGCTCTGTGTAAGATTTTGAACTGGGTCTCCCTCCAAATTTCGTTTGACACCACTGATCTTATTTTTGCATAGTCAGCCAGAAGTTTAGGGAATAGATCCGGGTCACCGAAATCTCTCTGCCATCCTCTCGTAACTGACTGTGAGAGGGGCGAGAGGATTTGCCGCATTTTTGATGCATTCCGGGCCGTTTTTGGTTAAAAAATGTTGTTGTTGTTTAGAATGGACTTTCAGTGCGTTCCAAGGCGTTTTTATGCGTTTTGATACGTTTGCATGAGTTCCAGAGCAGGTAAAATAGGGCATGCTGCAGTTTTTTTTTAAAATGCTCTGGAACTGAACGCTGCGGTGTGAACTAGAGCCCAAAATACCATTGGCATATATTGGACGCAGTTTTGATCCGGTCTGTAACTGCTCTGCTCCTGGTGTGAACAAGGCGTAAATCTTAATCTAGCTACCTAAACTAACAAAAACGTATCTTATTTTTAGATCACTAGGCTGTAGATTCTCAAATCATCTCCGACTTGGTGCTGACACTGTCCTTCCTTCTGGAGGGTTGCTACTTTTGTTCCCCATGGTCCTGTATGTGTTGTAAAGTTGTCTGTTTTACTAGCTGTATGACATCTTAGTCTATCAGTAACATACATGATGTTCTTTATCAAAATCTGGAGCAGCTGTGCATGGCAACCAATTAGCTTCTCTTCAGTTTGTTCAATTAAGCTTTCAAAATGAAAGGCGGATGCTGATTAGTTGCCATGCACAGCTGCTTCAGATTTTGTCTGCTCCAGTTTTGATAAATTCCCCCCAGTGTATATTGATGAACTGTAAAAATATGTGTTCGAAATTGGCTGCTAATACATTTTTGGATAGGTTTTTATTTAAGTGGAGTACTGTTAACTGGTTATATTCTGTAGTGCTATCCAAGCCGTATTAATGTAACCATATGTTGTCTCTTTCTTGTTATTAGATGATTCTCGATGCATGCTATGTGACAAGCCTGGTGACCTCTCAGACCTTCTGTTCTGCACCAGCTGTGGATTGCACTATCATGGCTCCTGTCTTGAGATCCCAGTCACGCCGCTGAAACGCTCTGGCTGGCAGTGTCCTGAGTGTAAAGTGTGCCAAACATGCAGGTAATTTTTCAA